CTTCTTAAATGAGTCCATGAAATGACCCACTATGGGAAAGAGGCCCTGATTAAATTCGTCAGGCCCTGACTCCAGGGCAGGAAATTTGGAGAGGTAAAATGGGAAATCAAACAGAATGTTAACTGTTTTATTTGCCTTAAGAACAATCTCAGGATTACCCAATGACAAAAGTCTTGCCAGCACCAATATCAAGACATTTTTTGTGGTTGGGTAGACAGAGGCTTCCTCCGTGGGAACTGAGTGAACTTCAGAAGTAATGAAAATCCTCTTGAAGGAGATTATCTCTAAGTGTGGATGTTCAAACACTGTCCAAAGTGACAACAGAGCAGCAAACACCTATATACATTGTATGTATCACAAACAGTGATAAGATGAAATGGACAGTGCACTCAGAATGGAGACTCCACTCTTGGAAAGTAGAATAAATGAATCATACTCCAGAGAAACAAATGGCAACATTCTGTCAGGAAACGAATCTACATTGGGACCAGGTGTTGCCTTAGCCCTGTTCTGAATTCAGGTAGCCCCTAGAAGTGAGCTTAAATTGAGCCTTTATGAAATTGTATATGGTAAATCTTTCTAGGCAGCTTGACCTCACCCAAGATTTGAAGGTGCAGTGGTATGCACAAGGTCTCCACCACACACTTTCTATTTTTCTTAAATTTGCTTTTCTCAGGTCTTCATCCTTTCATACAGGTAACCTGCACCCATTCCAGCCTGGAGATTGTGTACTGCTCAAAACATAGAAAGATGGACCTGCCTCCCAGTTAGAGGAGTAGTGAACAGGGCCTTGGAAGTTCCTCCTGACCACCTCTACTGCTCTCAAACTCATGGACCTCAAGACCTAAACTCAACATACATGAGTCAAGAAATATCCTAGAGAGTAATGGAACCTAGGACCCTCAAGAGGGAAGAGCATGAGTGGAACTTGGTAACCTAACCAGAGAAGCAGCGACACCAGACACAGAGGCAGAGGTGATGATATGGAGAGCTAGAGCAGCTGAAGACTCTAGACTCATGGAAAGAGAAAGGCTGTGTGCTGGTGAGCAGGAGGCTGGCTTGCAAAATGTGTGCCTAAGTTGTTTAAATGATTATATATGTTCCTGCATGTTTTTGTTTACACACAAAACAAAACAAAGTGGGAATAGAGGCAAATGCTGTTAACTGACAGTACATGGAGGGGATTCTAATTATTGCAGTGAAACAAAATACGATTGGCTGAGTGCAAAACCGATGTTCTGCCTTGTAAACCATCACTCAGTTCACAGTAAAAGCTCTATAAAAATAAATAAATAAATAAGTAAAAAAGGAAGCATAAACAAAAAAAGTTAGTTGTCTCAGTTACCTAATCTAAGGTGTTTAACCATGTTACTAGTGAGGATCTGAGTTTGTATTGTCATTGGAATTTTTGTATGTTACTGTATTCAGTGCTCACCTTACTATATTGTTGTTTGTAAAACTTGTTGGTTTTTACAACCCAACTTTAATTCTTCTAATCCAAGAGATAATGCCTGGGATCAAAGTAAGAATTTTCATTTGAAGCAGATTTCATAGAAATTAAATCTGAAAATAAGAGTGGGGAATGATGCTGGCTGTCTGTGAATAAAGCTTGGATTAGGTCTCTCCCTGTCTCTGTGATTGATTACAGTGACAGAATTCAAACCCTCATTTCAGTTTGGCAACATTTCAATGGTGAGGCATGACTAAAAATGAGAAGACACAGCTGCAAACTATCATTAATAATTAGATCATGTAATATACAAATATGCATTTAGGAAAATTGGAAATCATCAAAAATAAAATGGATGAATAAAGATCAATATTTTAAGCATTAGTGAACCTAAGTGGACAGATATTAGCTATCTTAAGTGAGATAATCATATAGTTTACTATGTCAATAATGACAAATTCATTGGTGATGCATTCATCCTCAAAAATAACATTTTAAGATCTATCTTGAAGTAAAATGCTGTCAGTGATAAGACTATATCTACAAGGAAGACCAGTTAATTCAACTATTACTGAAGTTTACCCACCAACCACTAAAGCCAATGATGAGGCATTTGAAGAATTCTATTGCCAATTTCTTTGTGAAATTTACCAGACACATAATCAAGAGACGTTGATAATTACTGGTGATTAGAATGTGAACATTGAAAACAAAGAGGAAGGATCAGTGAATGGAAAACATGCTCTTGGTGATAGAAATGATGGTTCAGATTGCATGATAGAATTTTTCAAGATTAATGACTTTTTCAACAACATAGTGACTATACATATGGACCTTGGCAGATGCAATACACAGAAATCAAATGGACTACATCTGTGGGAAGAGACAACTAAACAAAGTCAGGGATCTATGGAACAGATCATCAACTGCTCATATACAAATTCAGGCTGAAGCTGAAAAAGTAAAACAAGTCCATAAGATCCCAAATATGACCTTGACTATATCTCACCTGAATTTACAGCCCGTTTCAAGAACAGATTTGATGCAGTAAACACTCATGACTGAAAACCTGAAGTATTGTGGGATGGCATCAAGAACATCATACATGAAGAAAGCAAAAGGTCATTAAAAAAAATGGGAACGAAACAAAAGATCAAAGTGAATTTCAGAAGAGACTCTGAAATCTGTTCTTGGAAATAGAATAGCTAAAGTGAGATGAAAGAAATAATGAAGTAAAAGGAGCTGAACAAAACATTTCAAAGGGCAGCTCAAGAAGACAAAACGTAATGAAATGTGCAAAGACCTGGAATTATAAAATTAAAAGAAAAAATATGTTCAGCAATCTTTAATGAGATCTAATATAATACAGATAACCCATGACTCCTGGTATGGTGCTGTAGGATAAGTACTGGACTGTTAACCATAAAGTTGGCAGTTCAAATCCTCCTTAGAAACCTTATGTAGGGTCACTATGAGTTGGAACCCACTTAACAACATGTAACAACAATATGGTCTGATGTGATCAGCCCTGATGTAATGTAATTATCCAATGTGTGGCAAATCCTCACTTCTATGATGTTAATTGGAGTCCTGGTGTGGCGTTGTGTGTTAATGCCTTAGACTGAAAATTTGTTTGCCGCAGAGTCGGCAGTTCAAGCTCACCAGCTGATCCTTGAAAACTATACAGGGTCACTATGGGTCAGAACTGACTCAATGGCACTTAACAATAACATCAAAATGATGTTAATGAGGTCAGATGCAATCTACAGAATTAGGTTGTATCTTGACCCAAACTCTTTGAAATATAAAAGGAGAGAGAAGTAAGCAGAGAAAGGGGGACCAACTGCTACCAAGAACTGGGAGTGGAGTACATCCTTTGAAACTGTGGTCCCTGCGCTGTGAAGCTCCTCAATCCCGAGGAAGATTAATGCCAAGATGAATGGAGAACTTCAAAGGACAGTGGGACTACTGCTGCTGAGAAGAGACAAGGAAGTTTCTTTAGAGTCAGTGGTCTGAATTCAGACTTCTAGCCTCCTACACTGTGAAAGACTACATTTCCATTTGTTAAAGTCATTCACTTATCTTGGTGTGGCGCTGTGGATGGCAAGGTCGGTTTGAACCACAAGGCTCGTGGTTGAAAATCACCAGCTGCTCCTTGGAAACCCTATAAAGGGTCTCTGTGAGTTGGAAACAACTTGACAGCACCTAACGACAACACCAGAGAACTAAGACAGACTTGAAGCATTTACTGATGAAGATCCTTTAGTATGGATTGTACCTCAGCATAAAGAAAACAAAAATCCTCACAATTGAACCAATAACCATTTCCAAGACAAAATAAGTTTAAAAAGAACATGCAGCACAGCATTTATAATGTATGCCCATTTATGTGTTATATGTGTGTGTGTGTTAATCCAAAGGAGTTTCAAGACTGAGCCAGGTTATACTGACAGGAATCAGAGAAATAGGTACAAGATGAGGGTTCTGCAAGGATTTGATCAAGGTACCTGAAATATAATATTAGATGAGGGAGGGTTTATTATTTTAGAATGTGCTTTTTTTTGACATTTTTTTCCTTGTTTTATTGTTGTTGTTTTAAAATTTATTTTTTTGCTTTCCCTTACACCCAAGTTAATATGTGTCTGCCCTCTAGTTATGATTTGTCCTCCCTTCACCTCCAACCCCTGTTTTATGTCAGTATTGCTAGATATAATCACCTTTTGGTTAAGATTCAATTAATTTCCTTGGATTCAATAATGACTCGGTCTTGTTACTTCCCACCTATCTAATTTTTTTGAAATTAAAAAATAAATTTTTAAAGCTTTTTATTGTAAATTGAGTGCAGGTTTACAGAGTAGATCATCAGTTTTACATTCAACACATCACATGCTTCTTTTGATCTCAATGTAACATCACTTCTATCATTTACTCCCTATGTTTCTTGTTTCTAATCTTTTTTCTTTTTCCATCCTTCTGAATGTTATCATTAAGGAAATGCTGACCTTTTGATTTCAAATGACTGACCATTCTATGGCGTGTGGTCTCATGACAATCTTGCATAGAGTTTTTGAGACTGTAAATCTTTACGGGAGTTTAAAATCTCATCTTTCTCCTGTAGATCAGGTGATAGGTTTGTACTGCTGACCTTGTAATGACCAGTCATTATCCTATAGCTCTACCAGCACGTCAAATGTCTGCACGTTGTTGCTGTTGCTGTTACTGAGTGCTATCAAGTTGGTTCTGACTCATAGAGACCCTGTAAAGGGTTTTCAAGAAGCGGCTGGTGAGGTTGAACTGCTGACCTTGTGCTTCAAACAGATCTTGCAGTCCAGTTCATTAACCCACAGCGTCATAGGCCATTAGAATGTTTAAAGAAGCACAAAGAAGTGTGGCAGTTAAGGGACTGGACCAAGGGGCTCCTCCAGCAGGTCAGTGTGGAGAAGGATGTGGACTGTGGACGTGGACGCAGAGTTGAGGGGCTCCCCCTGCAGGCCGACCTGGCATTTCTGTTACTCTGAGGTCCATGAAGCATTGTGGCAGCTCATTACACTTTCTTCGTCTATTTAGTGACGGCTACACCCAGCGAGATGGGTTGGCCAAGTGGTAGCATCGATGGGCTCAAGCATAGGAACGATAGTGAGGTTGGCCCAGGATCGGGCAGTGTTTCGTTCTACTGTGCATAAGGTCACTATGAGTCATTACCAACTTGATGGCACCTAACAACAATAGGAAGGAGCTCTGGTAGGGTAGTGGTTATGAATCAGGCTGCGAACCACAAGATCCACAGTTCGAAACTACTAGCCGCTCAGCAGGAGAAAGATGAGGCTTTCTGCTCCTATAAAGATTTACAGCCTCGGAAACCCTGTACACGGTCACTATGGGACGGAACCGACTCCACAGCACTTAACAACAACAACAATAATAACAACAGGAAAGAGGTGAAGGATCAACGTTTGTGCTTCATGTTTCTTCTTGTCACAGAGATGCCTATTTGACCAGACATCAAACAAATACTTAAATGTTTCATCTTGTCTTGGTGGAGCCCATGCAATAGAATATCAGGCAATGTTGTTGTTATTAAGTGCCATCAAGTCGATTCTGACCCACAGCAACCCTGTATAGGGTTTCCAAGGAGCAGCTGGTGAGCGTAAACTGCCAATCTTGCAATTCAAATGACTTTGCAGTCTGATGCACTAACCCCTAGCATCACACCATGATGCAACACAACACCATCAAATATATAGATTAAACCAAAGTACTGTTCAATTTTGATGCTAGAGGGAGATTGGAAGAGGAAAGATGAATGTACTAGAAGACACAGAGGAATTGAAAATTTAAAGTGAATAGAGATAAATACTGTTAACTGATGGTACACAGAAGGGATTTAATCATTTTAATGAAACGAACTAAGTATATGAGTTTTTAATGTAAAACTGTAAGCCTTCACTCAATTCACAATAATACGTCAAAATGTTGCTGTTAGGTGCCATGGAGTTAGTTCCAACTTGTAGTGACCCTGTACAGTGTTTTTGAGGCTGTAAATTGTTATGGGAAAAGAAAACCTCATCTTTCTCCCATTAAGTAGATGGTGGGGTTTAGCTGCTGTCTTTGTGGTTAACAGTTCAGTGTTTATCCTACACGCCACCAACACTTTCTCATTCTAAAATATAAGCTTTTATTGTTATAGAAGTAGTTTATGTGTTTTTAGAAAAAGCTAAAAATAGAAATAAAACACTAATTCGTACTGCCCACTAATTGGTTACAATTTAGCACATATTCGTTCAGATCTTTTTCTAGAAATAAGTTTGTGTATATATGTGTATAGGTACACACACACAAGTATATACATACCAGAGGGCTTCAAAAAGTTGTTGGAATTAGTCTCAGGGGCCACCATGGTCAATTGGTATAACATAGACCACAAAGACAATGTTCTACATCCTACGTTGACGAATAGGGTCTGGGATTTAAAAAACTCCTAAGTGGCTGTCTAAGGTACAACTAACTATTGGTCTTTCCATATGAAGAAGAAAGAAGAGTGATGAGAATTGAAGATGCTTAGAATCAATGAGTCCAATGGACTAATGGAACATGTGGACATCAGTCTCCACAGCTCTGAGACCAGAAGAACTAGATGGTGTCTGGCTACCACTAGCAACTGATTAGAAAGGTATCACATTAGAAGATGGATACAGTGGCAGAAAATGGAGAAAAAATTTCAAAATTAATTTTAAAAAGACCAGACTTACTGGTTAGAAAGAGACTGTAGGAACCTGCTACTATAACCCTCTATGGAAAGGAAGCCGCCCTCATGGTCCAATTTTCAGCTAAGCAGTAGATAGGTATATAGGGGGAACAACAGTAGTATGGTATGCTCACCATGGAATGGTTAATGGTTCAAAATTAAAAGGGCAACTCTTACCCAAGGATAAAGTTGAGAAGGGGTGGGAAGGTGGATGAACTGGAAATAAGAACCACAGAGAGGAAGTGGGAAGACTGTTGTTGTAGGGAGGGGATTGCAATCTTTGAGATGAAACAACGTGTAGGATTTCTTGACTGTAAAACTGATGATCTTGTCTGTAAACCTTCACTCAATTCACACAAAAAAAGTTTTAATACTTCCACAGTCAACAGCAACAAAAAAGTTGTTGGAAAAATAGAATTAAAAGATAATGGAATTTTTCCATGGACTATCTATATATGAGGACTTGAAGAGATATGAGAACATATCTATATATAGATATGTTGTTGTTGTTAAGTGCCGTTGAGTCGATTCTGACCCATAGCGACCCTGTATAGGGTTTCCAAGGAGCCGTTGGTGAGCTTGAACCACCAAACTTGCAGTTCAAATGACTTTGCAGTCTGACACATTAGCCCACAGCGCTACACCAGGACTCCATATATAGATATAAACATACATTATATGTTCCAAATATGACACAAATAAGATTACTATCATATATACTATTTTAAAATATTTTTTTCAGATATTTAACTTTCCTATATCTTGTTAAAATTTCAACTCCTCCAATATCGAACTTCTCTAGTTGTTTCATAAATTGTCCAATTCAACTGCCTTTTGTCTAGTGTTTATGTCCTTCATGTCTTTTGTAATCCCAAATGTTTCTTTTAAAATCATTTTTTTTCTTTTTCATTTAAAACTTTCATTGTGAATTGAGTGATGGTTTACACATAGATCCTTAGTTTCACAGTCAATAAATCATACACTCTTGTCACTATGGTGACTGTAATTCCTTCCACATGCCATCAGGTAACAGTATTTACCTTGCATTAATGATTTCTTATAGAAACATCAGCACAAGGCTGGTGCCTGTGAGTTAGAGGTTAAAGCTATCCCAACTTTTCTCACATGATATGCCCTTCAGTAGTCCTTGATATCAATCACCACTCCTTTGGGATAATGCACCAGACTGTAGGATCGGTTTGAATGGCAAGGTTGGCGGTTCAAATTCACCAGCCAGCCACTCTTCAGAAATCCTATACAGGGTCACAAGGCATTTAACAACAACAAACACTCAAGTTAATGTGTGTCTACCCTCTGTTGTTGTTAAGTGCTGTCGCGTCGATTCCAACCCTGTATAGGGCTTCTAAGGAGAAGCTGGTGAGCTTGAACTGCTGACCTTGTGGTTCAAACGGCTTTGCAGTCTGAAGCATTAACCCACAGCACCACACCTAGACTCCATCTACCCTCTACCCAGTGAATAATGTAACCTTTCCTCTACCCTTAGTAACTATCATAGAATGTTTTTTTTAGCAAGAAAACCTTTTTCTTAACATTTTACAACAGTGGTCTCATACAATATCTGTTCTTTTGTGATTGACTCATTTCACTCAGCATAACATTCTCCAGATTCATCCATGTTATGAGGTGTTGTGCAGATTCATCATTATTCTTCAACATTGCATAGTATTTCACTGTGTGTATATATCAAATTTATTTATTCATTCTTCCAACTATGGGCATTTAGGCTGTCTCAACCTTTTTGCTATTGTGAATAGTGTTACAATGAACAATGGTGTGTATGTATCTACTTGTGTCCTGGCTCATGTTTCTTGTGGATATGTACCAAGTAGAGTGACTGTGGATATATACTAAGTAGGCTCTATGGTATTTCAATTTCCAACTTTTTGCAGAAGTACATTACTGGTTCCCACAGTGGCTACACCATTTTACAGTCTCACCAGCAAGTAGGAGGGTTTTAGTCTCTCCACTGAACTTTGTTATCAGTGATAAGATGATATTTCATTGTTGTTTTGGTTTCATCTTTCTAATGGCTAATGATCTTGACAGTTTCTTCATGTGTTTGTTCATCAGCTGAAGGTCTTTAGTGAAGTTTCTGTCTGCTCAGATCCTCTGCCTGTTATTTAATTGGAGTATTTGTCTTCTTGTTGAGGTGTTGAAGTGTTTATGAATTTTAGAGAATAGTCCTTTGTTTGATTATGCCATTGCTAATTCCTCCCCGCCCCCAAGTTTGTGGGTTGAAGTGTTGAAGTGTTTATGAATTTTAGAGAATAGTCCTTTGTTTGATTATGCCATTGCTAATTCCTCCCCGCCCCCAAGTTTGTGGGTTCTCTTTTAATTCTTTTGGTGAAATCTTTTGAGGCGGATAAGTGTCTAATTTTTAGGAGGTCCCAGTCATCTATTTTGTTTTCTGATGTTTGCGCTGCCTGCAATGTTTGATAGTATATTTTTGCTATGTACGAATCGGGCTGCTAACCTCAAGGTCGACAGTTCGAAACTACCAGCTGTTCTGTGGGAGAAAGATGAGGTTTTCTGATCCCCTAAAGATTTACAGCCTCGGAAACCCTGTACAGGGTCGCTATGAGTCGGAACTGACTCCATGGCACATAACAACAACAACCAGAGCACAGCATAAATTTGTTCAATTTGTTAGCTTGTCCCTATTTTTTCATTAATGATTTGGTGCTGTCGGTTAATGCACTGGACTACAAGGTCAGTTTGAATCACAAGGTCAGCTGTTCAAGCTCACTAGCTGCTCTTTAGAAACCCTATACAGGGTCTCTGTCAGTCAGAACTGAGTCGATGGCACTTAACAACAAAAACAACAGGTTTCACATTTAGGTCTTTAATCCACGTTGAGTTCATTTTTGTATATGAGGTGAAATATGGGTCTTGTTTCATTCTTCTGTAAATTGATTATCTAGTTTTGCCAGCACCATTTGTTGAAGAGACTTAGCTTGCCCCTATTTAATGTGTTTTGACCCTTTGTCTAAGATCAACGGGGGTAGGAGGATTGATTTCTTTCTGGATTCTCAGTTCTGTCTTTCGTTGTACCAGTACCAGACTGTTTTGAGTACTGTGGCTGTGTAGTACATTTTGAGATTGGGAAATGAGAGGCTTCTCACTTTGTTCTTCTTTTTGATAATAATGTGCTTATCAGAGGTTTTCACATGTCCATATAAACTTAGAGATTAGTTTTTCCATCTCTTTAAAGAATGGTGTTGGATTCTGGATTGGGATTACATTATATCTGTAGATTGTCTTGGGTCGTGTTGACATTTTCACAGTGTTAAGTC